TGGTCTACAGAGTGAGAGCCAGGACAGGCACCAAAACTACACAGAGAAACCCTGTCTTGAAAAAAAAAAAAAGAAGTTTATTGGTGCCTTGGTGATAAAGGGTTGAGAGAGGTTATGGAGGCATAATCTGAGATGTGGTAGGGAGGACTGGGAGGTTGAGGAATTGTCTATATAGACAATTCTGTGTCTATATAGACAATTCTGTGGCTGACACACAACGTAAAAAAAGAGCAAGGACCTGGGAGAGCTTTGGTTTACTTGTTGGCTTGTTTGTCTACCTTTCGTTTCATAAGCAGAGACTTGGATATTTTAAATCCTGATGAAAGAACTTAGTAGAGAGGGAAGAGAGAATTACAAACGAAGAGTGAGAATTCTGCTTAACTTGGGTGGGTGGGGAGGGGGTGTTGGGGAAACGAAGGATGGGCCCAGCTGTAGCTGTAGCAAAGAGGAACAGTCCCATGGTGTGGTGGGAAGTTAGGCTTTGGGCTGTGGCAGTGGGAAGTCTGGAAGTTGAGGTGCTTACCATAGGGTGGCTAGTGCCTTCCCTGCCAGTGGGTGTTGAGTCATTTGCTGAGAGTGAAGAGGAAGTGACAGTGTGGGTGGGAGACATGGATGTTGGAAGCTCAGCAGAGGGGAGAAGGCAGTAGAGCTGCTGTGGAGAATGGAAGGAAACATGTCACAGAGCTCTAGCAGGGGCTGGAGGAAAGGCAGAGAATGGCCCCCACTGTGGCATACACTTTTAGCCAAGTCTCCTGCTGACACCCAGGAGCTTGTCTGCAAAGTCCCTTATTCTGTTCCACAGAGACATTGGGGGGTAGGAGGAGATATACACACAACATATACCAGTTACTTGACTGAATAGAGCATAGATAAATCGTTCTTAGAATCCATCACAGGTTGCTAATGTTTACAGTGGACACAATCTACTCAGCTCTTCAGTATGTTCTACTATCGCATCAGTATAATTGTCACAAAAGGCATACAAAGGTAAATTTGCCAAAAAGAAGCGCAGACTCTGCAACTAGCCAAATGTGGGGTTTGGTCCTATTTGGTGCATCTAGCAGCCATGGCAAAAGACCCTCTACTCCTTGTCATGTACCCCCGGAAGAGAAACGGGGTGAAGGAGAGAAATGGAGCAGAGGAAGGGGCTGAGTGAGACAAGTGAGACAAATAGGTGTGGCTCAGAAGCCATCCCAGTGAGAAAAGCCCTTCACCCCACTCGGTGATTAGGCCAGGCGCTAGACCTGAAGCCTATAGCAAGAGAAGGATTCTCTTCGGGACAATTGATTATTTGTAAATAATAAGGAGAAAAGAAAGAACCTGGGGGGTGGAGTTCAGGAAGTGCATGTGTGCGAGCATGAGTGTGTGCTGTGTGCATGTATGTAGGGGGTGGAGTCACTGGAGAGACATCCGGACTCATCAGAACTCAGCCTGCAGGATGAGGAACAGTTTATCAGAGTTAACTGTTAGTTACTTATTTCTCAGTAAGAACTCACCCCACAACTTCACAGTCAAAACAAACACCATGTCCCCACATTTAGGAGGTCAGAGTCTGGGAGTAGCTTAACTGAATGGCTTTAGCTCTAGGTCTCTGATAAATTGATTCCAGACACCTGCAGGCTTCATTACAACTGAAGCTCCTGCTTCCAAGCTGACATGCATGGCTGTCAGCAGTTGGCCTCAGTTTCTTCCCACATGGGCCTCTCTATAGCAATGCGTAGAATATGGCAGCTGGCTTCCCCCACGTGGATGATGTGGGGGTGGGGGATAGAGAAAGGGAGGAGAAGAAAGGGGAAACAAATAATTGAACCCTTTCAAGTTGGTTCTAAACCCATGGTTTGGGGCCAGTGAGATGGTTCAACACGTAAAGGTCTTGACATTCAGCCTAATGACCTGAGTTTAGCCCACTCTATCTTACACGAATACAGAATCTATGTATTTAGTATAGATCCCAGCACTAGTAAAAGTACAATAAATGTTATGATTCTTAATTTTTCTATTTTGAGGGGGAAAGTACCTTTCTAGACTCAAGACCTAAAGCATTAGATACAGACATTTTGAGAGCTAAACATCATATTTAGTCCATCTTTGTAACATTTATTAACAACCTGACAAATATAACAACCAACCACTGTGACCCACACGCCCGCTGAGTTACTCAGTGATGGATTTAGACTGGCTGTTACCATTCCTTTTGTCTTCTCTTTGTAAAGTCCTAATGACCTAGACAACCCTTTCCAACATGAGTTGCCTTTGTACCCGAGCGGTAGCCCCTACCACTGCCTTCCTTGAGGGTCCTGGATGGAGTGGCTTCTGCTAAAACTGAATTCAGACTTCACACCAAATCTGAGCTGAATGGCCTTGGAGAAGAGCCCAATGTCCTGGGAGGCTGTCTTCCTTTATCAGTGAGTCTGTTGGGAGGATTAAATGAGATAAGACACAGTGAAACATTTAGTTCAGTGCTTATCCCATGTTTAAATGTCATTTTCCTCTTCCTTTTTCTAGTAAGATATAACACCTCAGTCACTCTCTGGTTAAATGACTACCGATCATGCAGGCTTAGGGCACCTGCTATCTACCACATGATACTTCTTTGTAAGGTGTTAAGGATTGCTTTGCTCTACCGTTGGGCTCCATTCAAGCAAATGTATTCTGTTTTGCTTTGCTTTGCTTTTCTTGTGTGTGTGTGTTGTTTGTTTGAGACAGAGTCTCTTTCTGTGGTCCAGGCTGGCTTGTTTGTTTGTTTTAGAGTCTCCTTGTACAGCCCATACTGGCCTAGATACTCATAATCTTCCTGCCTCAATATCCTGTGCACTAGGACCAGCATGTTTTAGAGTTTGGTATTATTTAGTGATTTTTAAATTAACTGTGTTTGTTTACTTTTCTTTATTTAATGAGGGTGTGTGTGTGGGGGGGGTGTGTGTGGAGGCCTAAGGACACCATGCAGGAGTCACTTCTTCCACCATGTGGCTCCTAGAGACAGAACTCAGATCCTGTGGCTTGCCAGACAGCAAGCGCCTTCACCTGCTGAGCCATCTCTCCAGGCCAGTTTTGCTTTTGTTTTTCTGTGATGGTTGGGTTGACCCCTAAGCTGTATCCATGGTCCTATCAGATAATGTTAAAACACTCAGTGAAAGTATGCAGTAATGTCCCTGTTATTTACTTATTTATTTGTTTGTTTATTATGTTTTGCATTTTCTCAGTAGCTAAGTCAATCTCCCTGGATATATTTCTTAAAGGCAAGAATCATTTCTTATTTATATTTTTGCTCTCTCTAGTGCAGTGGTTCTCAACTTGTGGGTCTTGACCTCTCTGGTCACATATCAGATATCCTGCATATCAGACACTTACATTACAATTCGTTACAGTAGAAACATTACAGTTATGAAGTAGCAATGAAATAATGTTATGGTTGGGGTTTACCACACCATGAGGAACTAACTGTATTAAAAGGTCACAGCATCAGGAAGGTTGAGAACCACTGGTGTAGTGCCTAGCAAAATGATGATGCACAGGGTTTGGCATTTTATCTTTGTTTGCTGACCAAAATTAATATCAGAATATTCAGAAGGGATTGAGATTAAAACAACATAGGAGGACTTTTCAGTGGAAAATGAAGTAAATTAGTTTGGGAAAAGGAAAAATTGATATTTCCAGGAGATAAATCATGTGAATTATATAGACTTTTTATATTATGTTACATAATACTCTGTATGAATGTATTAAAATTAAATGATATTTCAAAACTTTAACAAGATAATAGTGACATAAATAGATATATTTGTAAAATATTTAATATTTTATTTCATGAGAAGAAATAATATGAAGACATAGTTTTAAAGAAATTATAGCATTAATCATATAAATGATTTATTTATCTGGCTTCCCAGGGTGTTTAAGCTCATTTTTGCTTAGAGAATTATTAGAGAGAAGAAGGAAGTGAGTTTATATTCTCTATTCAACCATGGGGAGCAACGAGGTAGAACATTTAGATCCCTGATAATATCAGTGGAACAAAAGACCAAACAATTGAATACCCTTGCTCCAGTCACATCTGAATGACAAAATATCAACCCTGGATCAATTCAAAACTTAGCCAATTAATTTCTCCATGTCTAAAACTGGAGTGACTACTTCCTGTTTGAATTAGCAGTGCTGTGACTCTTTTTTAAAATTTGTGCTCACTGGCACTGTTCTTCATTCAAAGGTCCATGTCCTGTGTGTTAGTTATGATGCTCTGATAAACACCATGTCCGAGGCAACCTGCAGAAGGAAGGGTTTATTTGGGCTTATGGTTCCAGAGGTATAGGAGTCCATCATGGTGGCTAATTGGCAGGCTTGGTGGCTGGAGCAGCAAGGGGAGAGCTCACATCATAAACCACAAATAGGAAGCAGAAAGAGCATACTGGGAATGGCACATGGCTTTGAACCTCAAAAGCTGCCCCCAGTGACATAATTTCTCCAGTAAGGCCATCCATATCTTCTGAGCTTACCCAAACAGCACAGCCAACTAGGGACTAAGTATTCAAATATGTAAGCCCAGTGGGGGACATTCTCATTCAAATCACCACACACACTGTCACAGAAATGCCTGATCACACACAGCTGTTTCAAGATCTTGAAAGGTAGACAGGTTGTGACCTGCAGCAGGGCTCTTGGTGTTAAGAATGTGTACTGCACTAGTTCTCCAAGAGGTTGATTCTGGACAATTCAAGCACAGTCAGTTTTTCTAGAATCACCTCTCTCCCTTCAAGCTGTGTTAATAAATTGGGTCCATCCTTCCAATATCTTCTTTCCTTGGTAGGGATATTTTCTGTGATGACACTGTCTACTTCTGCAGTCTGGCTTCTATTATAGGGAGAAGGTAATTATAGAATTATCTACTAGACTTATCTACCAGGATGAGATGGGGGCTCAGGAAGTGGGTGGAGAGATCTGTCATGCATGTTACTTGTTACATATTTTTTTTGTAAGTGAAGAGTTTATCGGTTTGTTTTTAGGAAGAATCAAAATGTTCCCATATCAAAACAGCCACATCAAGGCAGCCACATCAAGATGTTCCTAGCATCAAAATGACTATATCAAAGCTGCGTGTCAGCAAATTGACGACGACAAAACAGCATGCATCAAAATGGCTGTATCATCCATTGGTACAGCCTTTGCCATCAAGGGAATGTGCTCTAGAATATGACACTGTCTATGGTAAGATAAAAATAAAAGGCTGAATTTTTGTTTTTCATCAGCGCTTTTGCTTTCAGCAGGGAGTTAGACTTAACCACCAGGTGCTGTGTGACAAAAGCATCATTCCTTATTCCTAATGACCAACATCTCCCATTAAAAAAAATCAGGGGCTGGCAAGACTGTTCAGCAGATAAAGGCATTTGCTGTATAAGCTTGGTGACCTGAGTTCCATCCCCACAACCCTCATAAAGATGGAAGGACAGAAATGACTCCACAAAACTGTCCTCTGACCTCTACACGTGCACCATGGTAGACCCCCGTGAGGCATGTACACATACCATACTAATACTACATAAAAATTTAAAAACTAGGTACAAATTTACAGAGATAATCCTGCTTTTAGCATAGGAATTGTGAAACTCCCATACTAATTTTGTAATCATGCTTTTACACTTTGTTCTCATCACAAAGATCTTTTGGAATTATCTACTAAGAATCAGCCAACAAAATGTATGCCAAGGCTGAGGCAGCCCAGAGCCGATCTTTCACTGTCTCCAGCTTTGTGTTCAGTCACAAGCCTGGAAGAACCATAATGCATGCTAAACGCCTTGATCTGATGTTTTAGCAGATACCCAGGGAGCTTGCAAAATCTTCCCTGAAATTTTCTGGTGTGGGAAACCATTCTATCTCTGTTTCTCCAGCTAAGTAAGCTTGGAGATTGGGGAGAATCTTGCACTGAGTATGTGACATATAGTGGACATGATTTCTGGCTCTAACTTAATTGTTGAGTGAAACTTTCTTGATTTTTTGAGGTATCACTACTTCTTGGCTGGCGGCTCCACCTCAGTCCTTTTCATGTCTTGCATTTTTCTGTCTGACCTTTAAATGTTGGAGTATTTTGCTTCTCAGACCTGGAGCCTCTTCTTTAAGCATAACTTTACATAACAGCTCATGGTTCAGGGAGGATTGCCTAAGATGTCTGGAGAGCACAGCCTCTATCCCAACTTGTTCTTCATCAACTTGTTATGTTGTTTTCTTCATAGAATTCTCTATAGTGTGTAACCATCTATTTTGTTCTAGTTAACTGTGTTCCCTGCTAGAATGTACCCTCCACAGAACAAGAGTCTAACTCTTTCCTTCTCCATTTAGTCTTCAGGAATTACCGTGGTTCCTGATGCAAAGTGAGTTCTTGACAAATATTTGCTGGAGAGAATGGATTCAAGCTTTTTGAAAGAAGAACTCCATTAAGAAGTCTAGAAGTTTCTACAGCCGGGCGGTGGTGGCGCACGCCTTTAATCCCAGCACTTGGGAGGCAGAGCCAGGCGGATCTCTGTGAGTTCGAGGCCAGCCTGGGCTACCAAGTGAGTTCCAGGAAAGACACAAAGCTACACAGAGAAACCCTGTCTCGAAAAACCAAAAAAAAAAAAAAAAAAAAAAAAAAAAGAAGTCTAGAAGTTTCTAAATCATTAGAATATGCTGTTGTTTAGAAATATTCCATTCATAATGACCATATATATGTATATAAACTAAAAGGAGTGATATGTAAAGGCAATAACTTGGGAATATTTTGAGACTTCATTCGGACATAATTGTATCAAACTTACTACTTAGATTGTTTCAACCTGAACACTATAGTGACTGTCCATCTGGTTCAGGGATTGGTCATCAGTGCTAAAGGTATTCTTTTATATAGGACTTTAACATAAAACAAATGATTTGGTTGAGAAGAAATAATCACATGGATTGAAATAATGAATATCAAGGAAAGAAACAATGAAAAGATCATAAAATCATTCTACTTAAGACACGATTGGACAATCTGGGAAGAAGACAGGTGAGGAGGAGTGGAAGAAAAGGCTGAGCAAAATGCCAGGAGGCTTACACTTAGCTTGGTGGAAATAGAACAAGGAAATCGTGTTTTCAATTTTAAATTGGCTGCGGAAGAGCCCTGCATATTTGCCATAGAGCCCCCGCCACCCCTGAATGGCAAACGCTATCTTTGAATTTCCAGGAAGTGCCTACCACACACAGCTGCCTCTCATGCATTTGGGGTGGGAAATCAAGGAGGGGCTGTAACCCAACCTTGGGTCAGTGCCAAAAGAAGATAAAGGAACAGCTGCAAGACACAGAGTGAGGAATGGGAACTCGCAGAGGCAGCCCTCAAATCCCGAGGCTGCCACAAGAATGGGCAGCTCGGAGGCATTGCCTGGAGTTTAGGGAGAACATTTGGCCTCTTCTAAGACATGCAGTGGTTTTTCTGGATGAGTTCCTGTAAACTTTACAGAGAATCCTCTGACAGTAGGACTCTGGTGATGCTCTCAAGTACTCTTTAGCAGAGTCCTAATGAAAACTCTAGGTAAGGAGCCATGTAATAGACTATATGTATTATCCATATGTTGAAATCTAGTCACCTAATGTGTATTAGGAGTCAGTTTGGGGGAGGTAATCAGGTCAGGAGAGTGAGGCCACCGTGAATGCCGTTAGTGCCCCTGTAAAAAGGACTTAAGAGGCCCTTCTGCCATGTGTGGATACAGGAACAGATATGTCAGTAACTAGGAGCAGAGCTCCAGCCCGATCAGAACATGAACAAGCTAACATCCTCGTTTAGGACTTCCTACCTCCTTGTGAAAATTCAATTTCTGTTGCTTATAAGTCATCCAGTTCACAGTACTGTTTTAGCAACCTGAATTGGCTATGACAAAAGCTAGTATGCATTCCAGTTTTGATTCAGTCCTAGCCTCATTGCTCCTTGCCTTCTATTTCCCATGTGATTCTGTACTCTCACCCTAGACTTTGCTACCTATGGTGGTTTGAAAGAGTATATCCCCCATAGGCTCAGATGTTTGGTTTTTGTTTGTTTGTTTGTTTTCAAGACAAGGTTTCTCTCTGTAGCTTTGCGCCTTTCCTGGAACTCACTCTGTATGGCCTTGAACTCATAGAGATCCACCTGCCTCTGCCTCCCAAGTGCTGGGATTAAAGGCATGCGCCACCACCGCCCGGCTGGCTCAGATGTTTGAATATTTGACCCCCAGTTAATGGCACTGTTTGAGTAGGTTTAGAAGGTGTGACTTTGCTGGAGGAGGATGTTATTGGGTGTCTTAATTAGGGTTTCTATTGCTATGAAGAGACACCATGACCACGACAACTCTTACAAAGGAAAACATGTAATTGGGGCTGGCTTACAGTTTAAGAATTTTAGTCCATTATCATCATGGTAGGACATGGCAGCATGCAGGCAGAGCTGGTGCTGGAGAAGGAGCTGAGAGTTCTACATCTTGATCTGCAGGCAACAGGAAGTGAACTGTGCCATTGAGTAGTAGCTTGAGCATAGGAGACCTCAAAGCCCCCTCCCACAGTGACACACTTCCTCCAACAAGACCATACCTACTCCAACCAAGCCAAACCTCCTACTAGTGCCACTCTCTATGGGGTCCATTTTCTTTCAACCACCACACTGGGGGTAGGCTTTGAGGTTTCAAAGCCATATGCTATTCCTAGGTTTTTCTCTCAGCTACACGCTTGAGGTTCAAGATTTCACCTTCTCAGCTTGTTGCTCCAGGCACTATACCTGCTGCTTGCTGCCATGATTTTCTGCTTTTAATGGACTCTTATCACTGTGGAAACATAAGCCAAATAAAGCTCTCGCTATCTAAATAGCCTTAGTCATAAAAAGTTACTAATATACTACGCATACTAATAGGTCACTGTTCTGCCATTTTTTTAAATTAATTGTGTGTGTGTGTGTGTGTGTGTGTGTGTGTGTGTGTGTGTGTGTGTGTACATGTGCATACCATGGCACATGTGTGATGGTCAGAGGATAACTTGCAGGATTCTCTTCTTTAACCAGGTGAGTCCTGGGGATGGAATTTGCATCACAAAGACTTGGCAACAAACTCCTTTGTCCTCTGAGTCATCTCTTGAGGACCTAGGTTCTAGAAGTTCAAGCATGACTAAAACTCAATTCCCCCTTTTGGTGAGTTACAGTTCAGTGGTAATACATAAACAGACAATTACAGTGTAGTACAGTAAGTGCAATCTATAAAAATAATCATGGCTTTTATGAGATCATAAAAGGGAAGCGCTTAGTGAAGTCCTTAGAAGTGGGTCAGTGTTTTGAGTAAGCGGACAGGTGAGGCAGGCCTTAAAGGATGTGGAGAGTTAAGCAGAGATCGGGAGGGCATCTAGAAGAGGGTTAGAGGCAGGAGGAGGAAATGAAAGGGGAGACATACCTAAAAGGGACTATGCAAAGGCACGGGGGGGGGGGGGGGGGAGGGGGGGAGAAGGACAGACTATACAGGGGACATGAGCAGGCTTTAGTTGTTAGAGACAAGGTTTAGCTATAAAGAAGGATAGAGAAAAATGTCCAGGCTAGATGATGGTGGACTCAATCTAATATTAAAGGCATTCACCACCTTGTCTGCAATATGGAGATGTTAACGGGGCTTTAGGCCATAAAGGAGCATAGCAAGATCAGAGTTTTAAATAAGTTACTTCAGCGTCTAAAGACACTTACTAGTAGGGTATAGTCGCACTCACATTTCAGGTGGAAAAGCAGGGAATTTGTTCGTTCATTGTTCTAGTCTGGGTGAAAGCTGAAGAAAGGCTCTCTGAAGCCTGAGTAGTGAAGACAGGAGGAAGGAACAACCTTGGCATCGACAATAGACTGGGATGAAGGAGACTATCAAAGAATTCCTGCCTGGATGACAAGTGTGGGTAATGGGATCATAAGTTAAGATTGTGTTAGCAGGAGGGAGATGTGTCCAATGGAGAAAATGAAGAATTCCATTCTGAAGTTGTTAAGTCCTATCTGCCTTTAGGTGAGCCAGAAAAATCTAGAACTGAGAGGAGAGATGCAGCCTGAAGGCATAGCACTGGAATTCATCTTCGTACAGGTAATATTTGCAATAACCAGGGCACCTCGAAACAGTTGGGGGACATCCATAAGGTGAGAAGAGTAGTGTTCAGGGAAGATTCCAGGGTGAAGGTAAGACCACAAAGAAGTCCGAGATGAATGGAAGAATGACAAGTGTGTGGTATCAGTAAGGCTGTCCTAGAATCCCTGGCCTCAAGCAGCCTTCCTGCATCAACTTCCTCTACCTGTGGCTACAGGTAGCACTACTATATCTAGCTTCAAAGATAGATTTTAAGGACGTGACCAATCATGGTAAATGTAATGTAGGGGGTAGTAATACAGAGCTTAAGAGACTTTAAATGCTTCTACTTAAATATCATTTGACAGCTGGAAGAATATTCAAACAAGATAAGGGCAGTGCCTGAAAGAGAAATTATTGAGCACTCTCACATACAAATATATAGACATAAAAGCTAAAGAAAGCACTCATTGAAAATACAATATAATTAAGGAAGACTTAATGCCAGAAGTGAATGTTATTTTATTTTTGAAATCTATTAATGTCATTCACTGACATCAAATTAAGGGAGAAAATTAAGTGATTATCTCAGCAAATACAGGGAAAATACCCAGTAATATTTAATGCTCACCTTTTGATTTTAAAGTATGTTTCTTTGAAAACTAGAAATATAGCAGATCATTCTGAATATATTTAAAAGCCTGGAGCAAATATTGCAAAATAAGACACGTTCTTGCTCAAAGCCAGGAACAAGATATAGATACGGATCTTCAACATGGCTCTGAAATTCCTGACCAATGCAGTAAGACAAGAAACAAAATGTACAAGCATTGAAACTAAGGAACAAAAATAAACATTATATGCAAATAATATCATTTTCTCTATATATTTGAGACAATCCTTTGAGATTCATCAATACTTGTAAGAGTTTTTCAAGGTTGATGGACCCAAAATCAATATTAGAAAATCAGTAGTTTCAGCACAACTGCAATAACCAATTTGAAAATACAATAACACCATCTAGTTATATCAAATGCAATAATGTACCAAGAAACAAATGTGGTAAAAAATGTTGAACACACATATGCGTCTATATAACAATAAGACATTATTTATGATTTAATGAAGATATATGCCATATTCATGAATAAAGAGAATATTAAAGAGGAGATAATCTTCCCTAAGTATAAATTTAATATTTTATAACTACACAATAAGGTGGTGTGTAGAGTTGGGCCAGTTGATTTTAAAGTGCTTTGAAATGAAGTAAGGAAGAATTGAAACAATTTGGTATCAGAATATAAAGGATAAATGGTCTAGATGAACATGAACAATGTTGGTGCAGACAAGACCTTGATAAGCAAGGCAGTGGGGGGGGGGGGGGGGAAG